GCCTCAAATTCAGACATTGCATTGTCCGGGTCCTGAGCTGGACCTAGCTGCTCTGTGGACCACATCTAAGCTATCTGGGTTTCCTGTGCCTATGTCAACCACCAACCAAAAAGTATATGAGAAGAAACATGGACATGTTCATGTTCTCAGAATAAACCATTTTGTACCAGTCTCCTGGTCTCCCATGTTATCTCTATGTAATATATTTCAGCATAGACAACAAAAAGACTGGAGCAGTGTGTGCTCAATGCTCCAAAGAGAAAGAAGCAAGGCAGGGTTGGTTAGGCTTTCTCTATGCATCAGAAAGCCTGTCTGCGTCCAGAGCTGAGGTAGAGGTTAAGTTTTAAACCACTGCAGAGGTTGCTAGGGAACAGTATGCATTGGCTTTCCTCTTCTTCAGGACCAATTTTGTTCTTCTAATGAAGAGTGGAAGTTTCAGTGAGCAAACCGTGCAGAGACATTAGATCTGATAGCGAGGGGAGACTCCTGAGGCTAATTCTGGTCACCCTCTTCTTTGTCAGCCTTTGAGGGTTTTTTTGTTTATTTGTGTTTCCTGGTAGTACTGACACATCCTCTGACCCCAGAGCCAGATTGTGAGCCCTGCTCGATGCTAAGAGATAAAGTCTGAATTATGAAATTTCTTTATGCAAAAGCTTGTGTAATTGGCACCATCTAAGAAGCAAAAGGAAACTGGTAAGCTTGGAACAAATAAGTTTCTTAAAACAAAAAAGATAATATATCATTGCATTTATAATGGCAATTTTGTTGAGTCAGATATATCACTTAAAAAATTGGTTTAAAATACTGCTTAAGCTTCTTGCTTCAGCTAAAAATGTGAAATAACTAAGTCATGTTTGTTTGGGTTTAATGGATTTTGGTTTATTGGTAATTCCTTTTTTTTTTTTCTTTTTAAATAACAAACTCATGCATTATGTTTTCTTATATCCCTGTCTGTTTGTTGAAATGTCAGGATTTGTAGTGCTAATCTAACTAGACTCAGGTGGAAATATTTGAAAAGGGACCTGTCTCCGGCAACATGTCAGCTAGCTGGCAATCAGCAACACCATTTGAGTACAACCCAAATTGTCCTGTCAGCAGTTGGACCCACGTTAGTGCAGCTCAGCAGTGAGTGAGCTGAACCCAACCAGACAGGGTGGTGGGGCTACCACCCCTGTCTCTCCTGGGGCCAATCCTACCTGACATAACCATCAAAGCAGTAGAGGTCATTTATACCTCGACTAAATTAGCAGCAGCACCAATAACGCTGCACTAAGATCAGGCTGGTAGTGAAACCTTACTGGGAACTCTGGGTGCTGCTGCAAAGTATCTGGAAATAAATGAGCAGCGTTTGCAGAGACTAGTCGTTTGCCATTGTTGTACAAGAAGATAATTATCGTAAGTATAGTACGTGATTAGTACAGTGTATTTAATCATAAGTAAGAAGACTAAATCCTAAGTATAATTTGGTTCCAACTGGGATCACTGTTTTCAGGAACAACAGTAAAAACCACCATTGCACATTGTTATGTAACAGTGGCATGAAATAACTCTTAATTGTAAAGTAAAATATGTTTTATTCATATGTTTATCTGCCAATGCTGATAGGATATTTTTACAGTACTTGTAACCACCAAGCAGCCTGATGAGCTCTCGACTGTTAATTTGCAACATTACAATTAGCAGAAGCAGACGATTGAAAGGAACTTATATGTACTTCTCTGTTGATGATTTATGTGTATATGTGTGTGTTTTCATTCTTTTAACTCTCTTTTAATAAATTAAAACACTCTTCTAAGACTGGAATGATAGAGACTCCTCCCTGGGGTACCAGAACACAGAAGTTTATCGTCTCCAGATATTTCCAGGTGTGTCAGTTTGTTTAGTTCTTTCTATATTGTGTTTTAGAAATCATAGTCATTAAAGTTAAGGGCATAAAGTATCAAAATCAATGAAAGACACCATAGAAATGTAGTACTGGTAGGGACCTCACCAGGTTATCTAATCCTTTCTTGTATCTGAGGGTTGGTCTAATAGTCCTACAATGTTCATCACATTTGTTTTTAAAAAACTTATAGGGAAGTTTTTTCTTAGATAGCTGCTCCATCATTTATCTTACTGTATGATTAAGAATTTTTTCTTGTTTTTATCGAGTTTTCCTCTCCCTCACTAAGCCAAATGCTTCTTGCCCAGCCTTTTCAGCCAGAAAACTACCCTGTTCTTGATTGTCTTCTGTCATTTACTTGAAGATTGCTAGCCTGTCATCTTCTCATTGTCTACTTACTAATTAAACAAAGCCAGTTCTTCCAAGTCTTCCTCAGAACTCACATTTGTTAAATGCACTATTATTATCTTTTTCTCCTGCACTTTCGTTCCCTCTTAAACTACCATGTCTAAAATTAGGCACAGTGTTCAAACTGACTTCAGTGCTGCTAAACAGTGCAGAATAATTACCTCCTGTGAGGTGCACATAACACTCCTGTTAATCCCTTGCAGAATTAAATTTGTCTGGTTTTGCTCTTTTGCATCACCATGTTCGTGTGCGATCCCTAGTCTGTGAATCAGTGTAACTATAGATCCCTTTCAGCAAGATCCTCTTGTGTCTGGCTGGCACATTTCTGGCAAGTCATTAATTAGCAGGTTGTGAGATGTCCCTAGGGTAGGGATCCCACTGTGACCAGGGCATCCATAAGTGTGGGAAAAGAAAGATCCTTTAGCAGATTTGCTGGAAAGCATTTTTTTACCTAGTCTTGGATTTTCTCTGGGATACCTGTCACATCAAGCAGAAGTTTTATCTCTCTTCCTTTCCTCTATAGTCAACTCAGTAGCTTAACACTGGTGCTGTATTTTTGATGGAATACTTATACTTGGTTCTTTTTGTCAGCCTTTCTTGTAACCTTCTATTCCTATTGCAATGAAGGCTCTCAAAATTTAACTTTCAGGTGGCGCTGTATTAAACTAGTTAATGGTAAAGCATCAGCTTAATATTCATCAGCAGTCAAAAAGTCTGCTATGGCATCAGCAATGACTATTAGCAGGCTTGTCACTGTTGTGGTTGTCTGGAGATGCCAACACAGTTTGCTCTGCTGCGTCACTGCCCAAATGCTGCCCATAACCCCGGTCACTCCATCACAAAAGGGTTTATGAACTAGAAAGGTACAGAGAGAAGCAACTAGGATAAAAATGAGACTGTAAAAACATAGAGTCATGGTGTGATCTTCCGAGTGACCGAGAGGTGAGTATGAGAGCAGTCCGTGTGGGCTCTTGCATCATACATTCCCAGCCAAGTCATGAGATCAATGAGCAAGGAAAATCTGCTTTTTGAGGACAAATTAAATGTATTCTCTTACTTAGAAAAAAGACACCTGAATGGGAATATGATACCTAAACGATTCTATGATTCTAAGTCGCAAATGGTATGGAAAATGTGCATGGAGAACAGTCACATAAATTCCACATAACAAATGAGAAGACTTCCAATAAACTTTTCAGGAACCCAGATTTAAAACAGTCTAAATGTAATCCTTTTTTTCACCTGGCACTTAAGTAAACTATACTTACGCAGTTTAGTTGCAAAACTAGGCTTATAATTCAGTTTCAGACAAATAGGAAACTCCTTGTCAAAGGTTGTTGCAACTGCCCAAAGGATGAAGGGATCATAGATAATGGGAGGAAAATCTGTTGGGGTTTTAAAGTACAAAAATGTACACAGAGTTGTTTCTCAGGAGAACTGCTGGCGGGTGAGAGGGTTTTCTGTTCTGCTGTGTCACTCATAGCATTCACAAATGAGCCCTGCCAAGGAAAGCTGAGCCCCAGCTCTGGCACAGTACAGCTATTTTTGGAATCCCTGTGCCTCAGTTTCTATAACCTCTCTGGCGACCACCAGCCTGTGTACTTTTAAGGACAGATTACGCACATATGCTGTGTGGGTCACAACTGGAGGAGGTGATCTGTGCTGCTCCCTACAAGCATCTGTCAGCTGCTCCAGCTGCCAGCAGTGGCTCAGCTGTGGTTTTGCTATGGCCTTCAAGTAAGGAAGAGGTGGTCACTTTGCTCTCCTAGGAGCATAACCGGGCTTAAATATGTGATACTGACAATGAGTATCTGTTACTTGGCTTCTTTCTTATGCCTTGGTGTTGATTTTATTGATGTCACTGATAAATGTTACACTGTCTTTTATGCTAGTAGGGCTTTGCTGGAAGAGGGAGACACCCTAAAGGTTGCTTGGGAGATGGTAAGCAAAATGACATTCTGTCATAGCCTCTTTTTTACTCACCCAGGGATGAGTTCCAGCAATGCTCCTTAATTTTTTGAGTTTTTACTTACTATCCGGTGATGAAGACTCATATGAAGGGCTAAATCAAAAATGTATGGGCTCCTTACAGTGGAATAAACATTGCTACTAGGTATCAATCAGCAAGACTATAATCTGACCCCTAGTATTAGTCTTTTGTTAAAGAATGATTGGCTTTTATTTTTTTTCTTGTCCACTAATGTGCTGGGCGTTTGCTTTACAAAAGGTATATAAGCTTCTACACCTGGAGATTAAATTGTTTATATTATGGATTGACACTAGAAACTTAGCAACCAGTTTACAGGCACAAAACTCTGAGCTACTCAGAAGACACTAACAACACAGAGGACCAGGCTTAGTGACCCCACCAGGGAAAGACTAGCAACCATTAAGAAGAGGCAAATATTCACCCTGAGTTACCCTCCTGTGACCATTGCAGCCTGCGGCACAAAAACACACTGAGAGAAATGGCAGAAAAAGCTTTGTCTTTGACATTGTAGTGAACATCTGTACTCATTTTTACCTGGGAGTGAAACTGAAGCTTTTATCTTCTTCCCTCAATTGCTTACAACCTTGTATTTCTTTTTCTAATGGAATTATTCTTCTGTGAAGATCATGGAGGGGGAAAAATGACCGCGGAAAACCTATCTGCCTTTGGTTAGCTTTTTAACCCATTTTTTCCTGCATACTCTTTCAGGAGACTACTACAATGACAGATCCTTCAGTGGTGGATCACCTGACACGACTGAAACTCAAACTCCTGGAAAAGGTAAGGGAATAACTCTGCAGTGGTCACTTTTGTTCTGCTTTTTGCTCTTGCACATTTAAGGATTAACATTGTATTTTAAATAAATGTATTTCTACTGAGATACAAAAAGTATCTACAGCTAATTGACAACCTCTTTCTTTGCGCAAGCAGAGGCAGACCAATATGCAGTGGTGCTACAGTCGCTGTCACGTTCTCAAATAACATTGTACAAGTTTACATGGACCTACAGTAAATTAAAAATAGGGTTAAAGTGACTTTGATCTTATAGGAGATGTCACCAGTTGGCTCAAAAACAGCTTTCACCAGTGCAGAGCCATGCAGAACCAAGAAAAGAGCCTGTGCATGAGTGAAAGGTCTCTAATTTCTGAGCATCAGGGAGCAACAAGGGCCAGCTGCTCCACAAGGAGCAAGCAGCTGAGTGGACCACCACAGCCAGCAGAGCAGGGACCTGGCCGGCCAGCCCCTAGGCAAGGCAAGCAGGGCAGAGCCAGAGATGGTGGCCAGGTTCAACCAAAAGTCCAGATCTATCAGGCAAGCTCATGGTGATGAGGCAGGTCCAAGGCCAACCTGGCAAGTGACTTCAGGTTGGGATTAAGGTTAAAAGGATCCATGGCCAGTCACAGGCATGACTGTGGTTGAACTGCAGACCAATGTTCATCCAGTACAGCTCAGCTATGAACAGACGACCTAGAGCTGAGATTAAAGGGGCTCCTGGGGACATAAGCAGCAGGTGTGGATGGAAGCCCCAGGTGAGGCTGGTCAGGGCCATTTAGGCCTATTAGTGCACCGAGTACCCAAAACTGTCCAGCATCAAGTTCTTCATATGATCCAGCTCTCTGTTTTACAAAATAAATGATGTCTAAGTCTCCTGATTCACCATGTTATCAATTTCCAGGTCTGGGGTAGCCTGGCCAGTTGGAAGCATGACTATTCTTTTACTGTAACTAGATTTGTAGTGACACATTCCATACTTCTATGAATACTTCTTGTAGACACTAGGTGTGATTTAACAGTCAAGAAGCACCGCTTGTCTCCACTTCTGCTTTGTCCTGGTTTGGCTGAAACAGGACTATTTCTGCTTTCAGGAGATTTTATTTTTTTTTCTTCAGTTAAGTTTTCTTAGTAACTGCCCTGTCTGGAGCTGACTACAGGTTTCAGGCAATGCCCGCTTTCAGAGCTGATGGCAGTTCATGTCTGTAGGTGTTGCTGGGGCAGGAGCAGGATTGTTATGCAGAAAGGCCCACGGGTGGGTGCTTGTTCCCTGCGGGCTCTCTTGGGCTCCGCTGGGCTCCTCGTGGGCGAGCGACCTCTCCTCTCCCTTTTCTCCTCTCCTTCCCCTTCTGGGAAAGGATGGGGTTAACAGAGAGCATCTGCCACCTGCTTTAAGCACTGGCCCAGCCTTAAACGGTGACAGACTTTTATTTTCTCCATCCCAAACTTATGCCTGTAAGGTAGGGTTGGAAATCGTTGTGAGCTTTGTTGCCTGACTCATAACCAGTTCTTGTTTTGGTTCTACCAACAGAGACTAGAAAATGAACAGGAGAACCTAGAGAAGATGGAGTCACCTCTCCCAGCTCCGTGTAAGAGAGAAGGATTTCTTCTAACTATGGACATAATACGGAAAGGGTTTAGTGACGTTCTCAGGCACAAGTTCCTCAGTAGGTCACACCAGATGATCACATCTCCTCCCTAAAAGCTATGTGCTCAGTGGTTGGGCATTTGGGTAGCCAGAATTTGCTCTGACTTGGCTTCTGTGACAGGGGCATTGTCTGGAAGGCAGGAGGGAGACTCTGAACTTCAGTCAGTGCTGCCCCAGCTCAGCCTGCATGTCTAAATCTGTATGCAGCCCTGGGGATTTGAAGTAGCAAAAATGCAAGTTCCAGTGAAACTTGTGCAGTAACGTCAGTCTGTATACTAGTCTCAGTTCTAACCAAGCCAATGAATCTTAGCGGCCCTGATGCAAGGAGAATGGGCTTGCTATACTGTGCAGCTATCTACACTTTATCTTTTGAATTTCTTCAACTGTTTGTTTTTTTTTTTTTTTTTTTTTTTTGACAAAAGGAAGTGATCAACCAGCTGAGCACTGTCATAAGAATGACCTCCTGCTCAGGTGTCCTCCACAGCCTCTCAGCTGCAGATGCTGTTCAGCTGGAGCAAACCACTGGTGATCCTACTTGTAGTAGCTCCTGTACCTAGGAGTGAGCCTCTGTTGCAGTCCAGCTGTATGCTTGGCTTTGGTGATCCTGAAAAGGAGTTGTTAGGATGGCTGTGTGTCTCTGAGGGATCCAGGCAGGAGGAACAGTCCATTGCTAATGCTGCTTTGCACCTTTGAAGCTGACCAACACAGCCCTGTGCAGACCAGAACATGGTTTCTGGTGTAAAAAAAAAATGTGACTCAGCTTATGAAACAAATTGTTATACTGAAAGAGTTGGTCTTCAGGACTGTGTTGATAAGAGCTGGGAAATTTTACCAGGGAACCATGTATGTGCAATTACATCCTGACTTTGGTTTGGGCAGAGAGGTCCAGTAATCCCAGCATACGTCTGAAACTTCCAAAGTTTAGACAATTGTCTATAGAAGCTAGTGAACCAGCTAAAAGTTGATAAATAAGGGAACTGAAAATTACTTGTGTCTTGATCAAACCCTTTCAAAGACTGCTGTGATGTTTCATGTACAAGTAGTGTGTTCCCTTCAACAATACTCCCATGGGAGCTATATGCTATGTGTGGTGCATTCATTTCTTCACGTGGCACATGCAGTGTTCATAATTGTATTATCTATGGATTAAAAGCTACCAGTAGAAAACCAGTAATATTTCTAGTTTGTACTCTGGGCTCATATTCATTGGGCTGATGCATGAATAGTTGGAAACTTTCAATGCTATGGCCAAAAAATAAAAATCCCTTTAACAACTTACAGTTTCAAAATATGGACTGATGCTTTTCAGAGCAGATGCCAGGCATGGCTCCAATGTAGCTGAAAATGGTCTTATTTATTTTCATTTCAAGGGAGTTCAAAATCAGCTCAATGTGGGAAGAACTGAAAAGGAAGTTGATTCAAAACAAAAAAGAAACAGAAATGTTGACATTGAAAACTAAGTTTGCTTTGATACGGCACAACAAACCTTTTTTTTAGAATTTGCATGATCATCCTCTGCATGTACAGAGTATATCTAGAAAATTTCAGGCTGAAATGAGTTTCTAAGCCAGGAAGTTAAAAGGGCGCTTTAGAGAGCAATCTGAAAAGTTTATTTTCAGAGAAGGTGCATTGCCTTTATAGAGCTGCTGAACAGCTGTGCCTGCACATGGCATAAAGTCATTATCTGTTCGTGGATTCGACAAGAAAAGTAGCTTAAAGCTTTTTGTGGAAGAAGTTAAACTATCTCATAACACGTTTTCCAAAATTAATCTCACAATGTAGGTGCTATAAAAGCTCTGTCTTTGTGATCCTTTGAGAAGATAATGGACTTTTCCTCCTTCAGGGAACAGACGTGAGGATATGCTCCAAAGTGCCCTGAGGCGAAGGAAAGATCTCCTGCAGGAGCTTAGGGTAAGAGCCCTCTCTGTGGACAGAAACAACAGAAAGGGCCATCTGCACATCCACTGCCCACGTGGATTCAGTTTTTTCTTGTCCTTAGTTCTTGGGCTGGACAATATTCAGTCCTTCCCTAGTTCTGAGTATAGAGGCTGGGCCAGCTCATCAGGGGCCAGAGAGCAGTGTGTTTTCCCTCACTACAGCTAACAAAGCCTGCAGCCACTTCAGTCAGTTGGTGGGTTGACTCTGTTTGCCCTGAACTGCTGTATCATAAGCTCTCCAGGGTAGTGCCAAAATACAAAGAAGGGATTTTTAATGCCACCAAAATAGGGACAATAGTAACTGTTACTTATTCCTAGTTTGTGGAATGAAACATTTTCCCAGACTTTTGGCCAGTTGTTCTTCACTTTTTTTCCATTCCTTTTTGCTTGTGCCAAAAAGTGAATGGCTTTGAGGTATGTGGGAAGAAAAACTTCCCTTATACTTGTGCGGGCACTGGTTGAGTGCTTCCCTTCATGCAGCGGTCACTTGTGGTCAGTCTGTCGGATGCAGCAGCGCTGGACATTTCTGCAGCAGTGTTTTAGTGAGCGAGGCTGCACCCTGCTGCGGGCTCCTAGGGGTCAATCCCATTTAGTCAGAGAGCATAACAATACGGTCTGCCTTTCTGTGACCAGGTTTTCTTTAAGAAGATACTTGATTTTGCAGGAGCAGCACCTTCTGGAAGAGCTTTCACAACCCCCTGCACCAGCTGGAGGACACTGTCATAATCACAGAGCTGCCTCCCCGCGTATCTATCAGATACCTTTTCCAGCCTCCCAAGTGGAGCCACCAAGGATTATCCAGCAGACAGTAAGGATCTTCTCTCCTTGGAAACACCGCTAGGGCTGTGCTGGTCTGAGACAACAACTGCAGGTGGAGGGACTTGGGGGCTGTATGGAAATACTCATCCTGCTGAAGCCTCTTGCTGTTGTATGGGAACGTTACTGCCCTAGGCAAAATCTAAGGGAAATCATCTTACAAGTAAGGCACAAAATTAGTAGTGTGAATGGTTTACCATAGGAACGAGGTGGCAAGAGGAGTTGGGAGGATTGCCCATGCTCTGGCCTGGCCATTCAGCCAGTTTCCAATCACAGTCTGCTCATGCAGCTTACAACCTCAACAGCTTCTCCATGAGGATCTCATGGGATACAACGTCCAAAGCCTTACTGAAGTCCAGGCAGATGACACCCACTGCTCTGCCCTCCCAAAGACGAGGGAGCTGGCCAAAACCAACCCTGACTTCTCCATTTTCCTTTCTTTTTCAGATGCCACCTCAGCCTGCCACCATCATCCAGCAGTTACCTCAGCCACCCCCCCTGATCACACAGATCCCCCCTGCCCAGCCTTTTGCAGCCCTCCGCTCCGGAAGCATTAAAGAAGGTAATGTACCCTCCATCTAGCAGCCAGCTCCCACCACCAGGCCCAGAGCGGGCAGGCAAGGTGCCACAGCAAGTGGAAGGGGGCACGGGACAGCATCCAAGCTAGTTAGTGACATGCTGTTTCACAACCTGGCTGCTGCTGGAGCTGCAGGAATTGCACTTCATAAATGGACTAGATAACATTTCTGAGAGGCTTTCAGACAGACTTTTATTGCTAAAACTGAAGAAAAAGGGACTAAAAACTCACCAAAGCTAGATTAAGCTGCCAGGGAAGCTTGGGAAAGCAAACCAGCTCAACCCAAGGCACTGAGTAATATTAACAAGGTCAAGCTCATGTGCACAGATGATTCCAAAATTAACAAACAGGCTTCTAAACTCTGTTCTTATTCTCTTGTTCCCTCTTAACCTGCTGTTCAATCTTCTCAGAACAATACAGTCTTTTATTGTGCCCCATGTTTGGAAACAAGACAAAACAGCTGAAAATGTTGTTCCAAATATAGTGCAATGACAATAAAAAGAGTTTGTTTCTAAACATAGTTAGATGCTACTGTGAAGTAATACATGAATAAAAACCTGGGATGACTTCCCTGGCTCATCCTTCAGCCAAAGGTTTCTTCATCCCACAAAGAAACCCTTAGCCATGAAACTGCAATATTTCTCAGCTTTTTCTTCATCTGTGTCTGGATTTTTGAATCGGAGTTAATTTTCATAAACAAAATAGTCCCAATTTTCTGAAGCTGATACATGTGAATTACTTTTGGTACGACCAGTTTAAAAAAAAAAAAGGAGAGTTGCCATGATTATTTTTTATTCTTTTTTTTTTTTTTTTCCCCTCTCCCTCCTGCCTTCCCTCCCCAAGCAAATGCCTTCCACCACACAGGTCCTTTGTGATTAGGACCAGAGATCATGGTAAGTAGATTTGATGCACATGCAGTGGACTCTCAAGGTGGCACTGCAATATCATGTAAAGTTGAGGAAACCTCTCACGTGGGAAGCAATGATCTTGAGCTGAAGCAATGGAGAGCACTGTAACGAGCCCGTCTGTGTTGGAGTAAGCTGTAGTGCTCAGCCCTTCTCCAGCCTTCCAGTCAGCATAGCCAGAGGAGTGGGCTTGCAAGGAAACTAACAGACAGAAGATGCTCAACAGCAGCTTTCTTGTAGAAGGGAGGAGAAACAGGAAAGCGGGTATGAACAGTCTTATTCATAGACATTAATTTTGCACTGCCTGGGCAAATGATGCTAATATTCTTCACGTGTCCCTTTCAGCAGCTTTGTCTTGGTTGCAGTGACCAGTCTGTATGCTGGAAGGCACTTCTTACCAAGATGCCTCTGCTGCTTGTCAATTGCTGATAAAGCTCTTACTTTCTTCCTTGGGGTGACCTCTTCCCAGATATGGTAGAGATGATGCTGATGCAGAATGCTCAGATGCACCAGATCATCATGCAGAACATGATGCTGAAGGCTCTGCCACCGATGGCGTTCACACAGCCTGCTGGAGCTAGCTCTCCCCTGCTTCAGCACGCACAGCAGGTAAAAACTCTGGAGTCTGAAGGGCATCTCGCTCACACGAGGCAATGGGTAATCTCCTTGGGAGGGGTGTAGGTCCTGGACAAAACATACAGAAAGTCTGGGACGTTTTACAGCTGTGTGCATCTTCAAACCCACTGCACCAGAGGGCTGTTACTGAGCAGAGCACAGCATGCCTCTCTACCATGATAAGCACTGTGACAGGACCCAATGGAAGAATGTCTTCTCCACAGGTGCAAACTAGATTCAGCCCAGCTCTGAAAATTATCTAGCCTGTACAGTTGAACCACTAACAGACTATATGTGGAAGACATCTACACTGGGCACCTGCTGCTGCAGGTCCACTTGCTGCAAACAGCATGGCAGTATTTATGTTACAAATTCTGTAACTGGTAAGATTTGACCTGGCAATTTCAAATGGGTGAGAGCTGAAGCACAGATTTTGTGATCGTACTCAGAGCCCCACTGCTCTAATTCCTGTCTCACTGAAAATCAATGGCTACTGAGCTCTGAAAGGACAGCTCTTCAAGATACTTTGGTGTGTAGATCCTTATAGGGATTTTGCCAAAATGTATCCAGATAAGAGGTATGTCATTTTGAACATATCCTTATATGCCCAATTCTGAAGCTGTTTTTAACAAGGTGATATAGCTTCTTAGTGTTCTTAAGTGCTTTGGAAAGATGTATTTCTAGTCTCTAATCTGTAGCATTTATTACCTAAGAAGCAAGGACAGTTGATCTTTGGGGAGGAGGGGATGTCCCAGTGTTGCAAAAACTTCCCCTATACTTTTCCTACCCCTCCATTTTCAGGCTATGTCTTTTCCCCGTGCTGTAAGAAAGATTTGTTTTCTCTTTCCTCGGATGTTAAGGTTGTTGGCTGCTGAGAAAGTAATTCCCACACTCCTGCAGTCCCTGCCCAGTTCACTCGCACCTTTCCTACGTGCTATTTGCAAAAGCAACAGACGGCTTAAAAGGCCCCGAGCCCCAGGTTTAACGGAGGGGTAGGAAATGCAATCCTCCTCCATAGCCCACTCCATGGCCTGGAGGGAGCTGATGGGTTTTTGCACCTGTTGGGACCAAATGTCCGCTCCGGACAGAAATCTTCTGACACCAGCTGCTAGCTCTCACATTTCAGGGCACTGACGTCCTAGGAGGCCACCTGTGGTGCAGAGGGGCCTGCTGGCTTTGTTAGCCATGGTCCCAGGGTGTACTTGCTGTGGAAATGGCAGGCAGTACCTGCCTGGACATCTACCTGGACTTGTGCAAAGCATTTGACACTATCCTGAATGACATCCTTGTCTCTAAATTGGAGAGACATGGATTTGCAGGATGGACCACTCAGTGGATAATGAATTGACTGGATAGTGGCACTGAGCGAGCTATGGTCAACAGCTTGATGTCCAAGTAGAGACTAGTGATGAGTGGCATTCCTCAGGGGTTGGGATTGGGGCCAGCGTTGTTCAACATCTTTGTCAGCAACATGGACAGTGGAATTGAGTGCACCCTCAGCAAGTTTGCCAATGACACCAAGCTGCGCGGTGCGGTCAACACGCTGGAGGGAAGGGATGCCATCCGGAGGGACCTGGACAGGCTGGAGAGGTGGGCTCGTGCGAACCTCATGAAGTTCAACAAGGCCAAGTGCAAGGGCCTGCCCCTGGGTCGAGGCAGTCCCAAGCACAAATACAGGCTGGGCGGAGAATGGACCGAGAGCAGCCCTGAGGAGAAGGACTTGGGGTGGTGTTGGTTGACAAGAAGCTCAACATGAGCCGGAAATGTGTGTTTGCAGCCCAGAAAGCCAACTATATCCTGGGCTACATCAAAAGAAGCATGGTCAGCAGGTCGAGGGAGGGGATTCTCCTCCCTCTGCTCCTTTCTGATGAGACCCCCCCTGCAGCACCGCCTTCAGCTCTGGGGTCCTCAGCACAAGAAGGACATGGACCTGTTGGAGTGAGTCCAGAGGAGGCCACAAAGATGATCCGAGGGCTGGAGCACCTCTCCTATAGGGACAGGCTGAGAGTTGAGGTTGTTCGGTCTGGAGAAGAGAAGGCTCCAGGGAGACCTTAGAGCAGCCTTCCAGTACCTAAAGGGGCCTACAAGAAAGCTGGGGAGGGACTTTTTACAAGGGCATGGAGTGACAGGACATGGGGCAATGGCTTTAAACTGGAAGAGGGAAGATTTAGATGAGATATTGGGAAGAAATTCTTCCCAGTGAGGGTGGCGAGGCAGTGGCACATGTTGCCCAGAGAAGCTATGGCTGCCCCATCCCTGGAAGTGTTCAAGGCCAGGTTGGATGGGGCTTTGAGCAACCTGGTCTGGTGGAAGGTGTCCCTCCCCATGGCAGGGGGGTTGGAACGAGGTGGTCTTTAAAGTCCCTTCCAACCCAAGCCATTCTGTGATTCTATGACACTTCCTCATGTCAGAGCTGGGCCTAGTGTTGCAGCGGATGGAAGTCCTTTTCTATTTTCCTTAAACTTTGCAGTTTCCAGTTTTGAATACTCTTAATGCTGTGGGGGAGATGTCTGAGGCAGATGGTGGTGCTGGGAGAGCCAGCAGACTCATCTGCAGCTTTCTGTGGAGGACTCTGCCTCTAAGGGAAGATGGCAGAGGAAGAGTGTATCCCCTCGCGGTCCCCATCTTCCTCCCCCGGCCATCCTATCACCATGCGTTTCTCTGACGTAGACCAGTGGAATAAATTGACACTAGTGGGGTCTGAGTACCTCTGAATATCGGGTGAAATCTGAAATCGCCAAGTGTTTGCTGGACCTTCTGTGCTGAAGCCTGCAAAACCCATGTCCAGACACATACTGGGTCACTGAGTGGGAATGCAGGCCCTCAGCCAGTGACCCTTCCCATGGGGGCACAGATTTCACAAATCGTCTTTTCTCTCTCTCCAACAAGGACTTGCAGTTTGTTGCCCCCCTGGCTATGAAAGCAGACAGGCCCAGGCCATCTGCGGTGCACCACCACCACCACTACGCTCCCACAGGGGTGCTCCCAGTGCCCCATGGGGGCTTCCCATCCACATCCATGGTGCGTCACTGGACCAGCGGCATGCTCCCTGCCCTGCCTACGTAAGTAAACAGGCAGCCACGAAGTAAAATTTTAGCCTGCCCTTCCTGCACGTGTTGGGTAGCAAGGTAGACCAGACAATCCCATGCATTTGCGGTTCTTGGCTAAGGCCAGTCCTGAATGCTCTCTTTAATGTAGCAATGGGATTGAGGAGGGTTAAGTGATGATTTGATGCACTCGATCTTATGACTTGAGTAATTAACCCTTGCTTACTGTAGAATAAACATGAGGATCGAATAAGGTCTACAGATGATACCAACCTGTACCCCTGCCACACAGAGCCACCACTCCGCTCTGCAGTGGCCGTTACCCTGGGTTTTGGGTCTCCCTGTGAACCCAGCAGACACTTGCCAAATAAGGGCTGCATGTGTTTTACATTCAGGCTAAGGTTCCCAGTAGGATTTTTATTCTTAAAACACTGCTGAGATATTTGCTAATCAGAAATTCCCGCAAAAAAATACCCCACCACCACTTGCTAAGAGAAATGGTACAAAGTGAGGGGAGTACTCAGAAATAAAGCTGTGTCTTTGTAATAAGCCTTGCAGCTGGGGTATTTTTTCAAGTGCAGAAATGGATGGATTTCTCCCCACGCTACCCCCAAGTCTGCAGAGCCCTTAGCAGAGGCCAGCAGCCAGCTCCTCCAGGGGCTCCGTATCCTGTGCCTTCCCTGCTATCTCTGAGCTTGTCTTGGTCAGCTTTCTAGGTGTGAGCAGATCACACCCGGGCCTAGCATTTTATCTACTCTGCTCATACAAATGCCAGTGGCAGGATGGGCCCTGGGCAAGGATCTGAGCCAAGAGAGTGCAGTGGTCTTGCCAAGTACATCAGGAGGGGACAGCAAGAAAGCAGGTATGGAAGCAGCGGTGCTAGAAAGTTCTTACGTGCCGAGGCTGGTAAAGAAATGCACATAGCTAGAGTGTGGTGGGGTGGCTAGGGACTTTGGCATGAGGACCCACTGTTACATCGGTGGGAACACAGCTTTTATTTCTGTGCTATGGCTCTTTCAAAGTCTTAGTGAACAGAAGGATAGGATGAAGGCAGCCGCATCCTCAGGCATGGGTGACCTCTGGGCAGGAGTATCTGTATGGCCCTCTTTAGCACGGGATTTGAATTCCTGAACAGATTATATACCTAATGGGATTATAAAGGATAAACATTTCTACCCCTTTCACTTTTACATGGGTTTGTAATCTTTACCAGTAAAGAACTCTTAGCTCCTTCCAGAATCAATGCAATTTGCTGTTTGCAGGAGTCGGCAAAGGAAGATCTTGTCACAGCTTTTAAGCTGTCTTCTTCCTCTTCTTCAGCTCTGAGTCTCACCATGAGTTAGGAGATCCGACACATCTACACTGTCCTTTTGCAGCTGAAGCAAGCGTGCACTGTTGGCTATTACCAAACACAATAAAGCCATTTTTCTTGTTGCAGGTGGCCCACATACTGACAGTACGTGTTCTTCTACAAGTGGACCATAGCATTGCTGAGGTCAATCTATATTTGAACAGCTCCAAAAGAATCTGTCTGATTCGCAGCCTAATGTCTGTAAGACTGCACCTTGTTGGTACAAGAAGTAAGCGAGAGAAAGAGTGCAGATGTTCAGAACAAACGTACCATGCACCTCGAGCCTGCTTACCCATTTCTGCTCATTCAGTTGTTTCCCCTCATCTTCCAAGCCCAGACTGGCCACAAGCAATCACCACTTTTTTCACCACCTCTTCACAGAATCAAGAAAACCCATCCCAAAGTGTCTTACAGGTCTGGCAGCCCACAGCAGTCCCTGGGCATGAAATAGTCTTAATACTACTGTTATCTGAGCCCTTGCAAATGAGTATGACCCAGCTCCAGGGCTGAGAGACCCCTTCATGTGCAAACGGAGAAGATGCCTCTTGCAAAGGGGCCTGCTGCCATCCTGGGAAGGATGATGCAAACTAACCCAGGATGCCTGAATGAGGGTTTAGTCGGCAAACCTCATCAGCTTGAAGTGTTTCTCCCACAGCTTTTTCGGTTTTTACTCCCTTACAGATATACTTGTCCTACAGTAATTACCTATTTGGGGAACTAAAGATGAGCAGGAAT